CGCTGCTTGTGTCAGAACCTGCGCTGTGTGACTGTGTGACTGTCGTAGAGGGGGCGTGTCTGCAGCGCCAGACTTTTCATCTCCCAGTCTGCGGTGATGAAGTGAGCGGTTCCGCTCATGGATCTATTATAGGTTCCGCGGGACGTCCAAGCGTCAGTCGTGAGCGCAGCTGAGGATGCGCGGGAGAGTTGACTTTAGCCCGGTCTGACTGTGCGTAAAGGAGCTGCTTAAATGCCGCGACAATAAGCGGTCATTGAGACGCTTTTTTCACTCATGTCTTTCTTGGTCCACAGTGCTTACACATCGTGACAGTTTTGTCAAATATTAATTATCAGTGTAGTCTCATACTGGGGATTTAAATGACGCAGGGCTTTCAAGTATCTCCGTTCCTCCGCTCGCAATGACCGCGCTGTGTGTGGACTGAACAACGTGCGCACAACTTTTTTTTCATAAATCAAACCGCGGATCACGTCTGTACCGAACCGAAGACGTTGAACCGAACGGATCACGAATCAGTGATGAACCGTTGCACCTCTAGACGACACGAATATATTTTACTGTAGTGATGATTATAATGACCTTGTAGAGACGGTAAATAGGGAACTCAATATAATAAAAAAGTGGATGGACACAAATAAATTCTCCTTGAATATAAACAAAACTAAGATAATGATGTTTGGTAATTGTAATGCTATGTCTGATCAGACCATAAGTATTGATGGTACCCAAGTTGAAATCGTAAATGAGACAAAAATTTTGGGCGTAATTATTGATAGTAAATTGTCATGGAAACCCCATGTCAGACACATTAAAACAAAAATCTCAAAAAGCCTCTCAATTATAAATAAAGCTAAATTATACCTTGATGGAAACGCACTCCGTACTCTATACTGCACCTTGGTACTCCCATACCTTACGTATTGTGTTGAAGTGTGGGGGAATACTTACAAGAATACAATTAATCCTCTGATCATCTTACAGAAAAGAGCAATGCGGATCATTCACAAGGTTGGTTTCCTAGACCATACTCATAATCTGTTTATGCAGTCAAAGCTGTTAAAATTTGATGACCTTGTAAAATATAGTACAGCTATAGTCTTATACAAAGCATTCAACAAATTATTACCGCCTAACCTACAACGGTTTTTTATAACTCCAGTGCGAGCTTATAACTTGAGAGGTTTTGGATATTTTTCATTGCAGAGAGCTCAAAACACTCGTAAACGTTTCTGTGTGTCTGTATGTGGAGTGAAACTCTGGAACAAACTGGACTCACAACACAAGCAATGCCAAACTGTCCATCGATTCAAACTTTTATATAAACATCGGGTCTGGTCAAAATATAGAGATGTGGGTCTTTAATTTAAACTGCTGTCTCATAGTGTTACAAGTGCTCAATGTTTCCTTGCTATCGTTGGTTTATTTTGTTCCTTACCACTACTGGTATATTGTTCATTACCATTGTTGGTATTGTTAAATTTTCATTACATTGTTGGTATACATTTTTGTTGCGCTGTCATAAATTGTTGACAGATGTGGAAATGCCACCATGTTATAATTTGTAGAAGCTTTTAAACAAGTGACAGTGAAGTTGAGTCTGTTGAGCTCTGAGTGGGGAACTGGGGGTGGGATTAAATACGTTTTCTCCTTCCCACTCCCTTTCAGGTGGAAGTGGATTGTTTTTTGTTTTGTTTTGTTTTCTGCTGTATATTCTATGTTGCCCTCTGCCTGAAATAAATAAATAAATGAAAAATGAATGAAAAATTATTATTACCTTTGCGTTTCAAGTGATGGAAAAAATGGATCGTTATTGAAAAGAATTTGGTCAAATGACATGAGTAGTGGGATGAAAAACAAAAAGCCAATGAATTTTCAATTTCTCAACGCTTACCAAATATAGATTTTCCACCACTCGATGTTTGGCTCCCATAAAGAAAGGGGCTAATATATGATGAATGCACTTTCCAATAGTAAGCCAGCAGCGTGCTTCCTCTGCCGGTAAATGTTGGTTCATTTTGGCTGGCGACTTTTTCATGCTTGCAACTAAGACATTACGTCATATTGTGGATCAACATGTAACATTGCAATCATTGTAGGTGATTCATGTGACTAAATACATGAGTTCTGGTCCTACTATACATCTAGCACACACAATTATGATATCAGCCGCAACACCCAGATTACTGCATTAATCCAATGTTGCATCAATTTAAGCAGCGGTGGCTGAGTGGATAGCACTCTCGCCTCTCAGCAAGAAGGTCCTGGGTTCGAATCCCGGCCGGACCAGGGCCTATCTGAGTGGAGTTTGCATGTTCTCCCTGTGTCTGCGTAGGTTTCCTCCGGGTACTCCGGTTTCCCCTACCACTAAAAATATGTACAATAGGTCTGGCATGTGCCTCCTGTTCGGCGACCCCGCTCCTGTCTCTGTGTGGAGTGAGAGGACAAGTGCCCAAAAAATAACAATTGTAAACCGCTTTGTGACTCTGGTCTGTGAAAGGCGGTATATAAATAAAGCTTACTTACTTACTTACTTACTTAAGCATATCAGAAGCTCGGCTCCTATTATAAACTCTACGCTCTCTTTGCCTTTTTATTGTGATTTTGAGAATCCAGTTCACACCATCTGCCCCGAGCCTCCACCGACAGCCTGCTCTGACTGCAGAAGTGAACTGCCTGAAGAGCATATTCTACTTGTCCACAGTGCTGTGTGTGTGCATATGTTTGTGCTCCACCCTCTCACTTATGCTCCAAGACATACATTCTGCACTTGGCACACACATCTTGAGCAAGTCGTTTTCAATTAAGCCAAAGTCGGAAATGTATTGATGAATAAAAATATGCGCAATATCGGTGAACATGTTTCAGTATAGTCAGAGAGAGAAAAGTAGTGTGTGATATAGGTAGGTAGATAGGTAGATAGATAGATAGATAGATAGATGGATAGATAGATACTTTATTAATCCCTCTTAGGAGAAATACAGGTGTCCAGCAGCAGAAGACTCATCCAGGTTTGTTGTACAGTCTGACAGCCGAAGGAACAAAAGATGAAGCCAAAGGACGAAGGAACAAAGGATATAGCATAACTTTGACAGAGAAACACTTTTTATATATCGCTTGGAATGACCAATCACTGTAGAGCAATCCTAGAAATAATCATCTCCTATAACGGACGATGTTATTGCTACGAATGTTATTCCAATTTCCTTTTCAATCTAATAACTCTACAGTAATGACACGGCAACAGGATGCACGCATTTGCACTCCGAACCTGCATTAAAGATATATGGATTCACTGTGCCAATCTATCACCCAGTTATACACATCATAAATCAGTCTGATGAAAAGACCTTTGGATAGCATTAGCAGAGGTCTAGTTAGAGGACATAGCACTGACAGCCATCAAGGGAGTGTTAAAATAGCCTGTAAAAGTTCACCCAGTCACTGTCAGGATGGTTATGCAAACTGCAACAAAAAGCCCCTCATGGGAATCCATCCTGACATTGTTGTGAGGCCATTTTGAGTCCAATATTCAGCAATTTAAAAGATTAATTGGCAAGTTGGGAGGACATTCAAATATTTCTTACTTTTAATTGGTGCTCTAATGAAAAGAACATGTGGTAAAATGGTTGGACCAGAAGCCCTAACAACTGCGATCATATCCTTGGACACATCTTTCTCAGTGCAGAGTTGACTGGCAGCCATGGGGGCAACAAGTACGGGAAATGTGCGTTTAAAGTAGATCCTTCATCATTATTTATTGGAACAACATTGAACAAGATTTTCAATAAGTTGTAATTTAAAAGGTAAAACAACTTATCAGGGGAATAGTTAGGGATGCACCAATTGTGTATTTTTTCCCGCCTCATGCTTCTCAAAAGTCCAATGAGATTTGTTAAATGATATTCTAGCATAGCCCCCTCACTGGAACACATATTGCAAATAGCATAACGCTGATAATTTTTCTGATACTGTAAAATATTGCCACAAGACCGGTGCCATTTTCTGAATACGAGCTCATGAAAGACCAAGTAATGCTTCCCGGTCGTTATGACGTGTGGATTACTGTGAGAAGAACTATTGAAAAAGAAAAAAGTCTCTGGTCACTACCTGTCTCTATGCACCTCGCTGAGCAGATGGAGGATTGAAACGCTTTCAAAGGAGTCATGTAATTTTTCCTCTGCACTAAAAGGTTGGAACGCTAATTGTAAACAAAATTGCTATACTGTATAAGAACACTTTGGACAAATGCAGTCACGTAAGATCTTTTCCTCAACGACAGCAGCACACAACATGAAAATATCACAGCGCAATTAAATGTTTCCTTCTTTTGCTTCACGTTATCAAACGAGGGATTAAATGCGTCCAAATACAGACATTTAGAATAAAGACATTTAGTTATGGCTTTTACCTGAGCTCTTAAATGCATCTGCTGCCCATGTCTACAGTTTACGTGGTTGAATGCCAGCAAATATGCAGCAGACACTGTTCAATCCAGTAAAGCAAAAGGGACTAGATTTTCACGTCTCTTTCAAAACTCTTGTACGTAAGTAAATAAGTAAGTAAGTAAGTAAGTAAGTAATCTTTATTCATATAGCGCCTTTTAAAGACCTGAGTCACAAAGCACAATTTGTCTCTAGCTCCACACAGAGTTGGGAGTGGGGTCGCCATACAGAAAGCGCATGCCAGACCTATTGTACTTATTTTTAGTGGTAAGGGAAACCGGCGCACCCAGAGAAACCTACGCAGACACGGAGAAAACATCCAAACTCCACACAGAAAAGTCAGGACCTTCTTGCTGTGAGGCACAAGCACCAACCACTGCAACTTCCGTGTCCTAGTACATACCCATTTTTCTGCTATGCGAGTCACGCTCCTTCTCTCACCAGATTTGAAACTGTTATAAGGAGTAGGAAAACAGCGTGAAGTAACTATGTGTGTGTTGTGAATGTTGATCTTGCGTCTCTCCTGACCTGCGTGCCTCCTCTCTCCGCACCCCACAGGCTTCCGTTCCCTCCAGCACACGGAGAGCACACACGGATCTGCTGGCTGCCAGGCTTCCCTCCATCTCCAACTTAATGCTGGTCGCTTCAGCCCAGCCAAAACAGCAGATGCTCAAATGTCGGAGTTCCTTCCCCACAGCCGCCGGCTCACAGAGAAGCTGCAAGATTCAGCCTCCAAAAAACAAGCAAGACGGCATGAGACGTCACGACCGCTTTGGAGGAGACATCACGAGCCAGAGCGGAGCAGTGCGCACATTTAGCGAGAAACCAACAGTATTACAAATCAGGCTCTAACTTTTGTCTAAAATAAAAAAATGAAAAACGACAGTGCCCTTAAGGTTCCCATTTGGTGGCAAAGTAATAGCACCTCCATGGAAAAAAGCAGATGGCAGAACGTTAAAGTGAACATTTCTCTGAAATTGTTGTGTGTAATGGTTTAGAATACAACGTAATATGAAATGCTGGGAAATCTTACAGTATATGACGACACTTGCCCAAAAACATTTATAACTGTTGTTTTTGTTTTATAAATTCTTTGGCTTCTAAATAATATAGTATTTACTTCAAAACCTGTTTTTGTGTCAAACCCATAAACTGTAAATATTATCAGACGTAGTAACGCCTTTTTCCGCTGTTGAAACTAACGCGCTGCCACTTTTGCCTTCTGTTGGCTTTTTCAAAATGGCCACGGGGAAGGAAAATGCAATAAAAACCAATTTGCGCATACGTTAGCCAGCACCAGACCTCATTCATTGAACTACTTAAGCCGCTGTGGAGTTTTGAATTAACTAGACTGGTCCAAAACAAAATACTCCCCTCAGCATCGACAGCATCTGGAACTTAGCGGTGACCTGTAAAGCCGTTTTAGAGAGGAAAGGCGGCATACAAAAGCATTGGGTAAATCTCTTTCCGGGTACACCCCCACCGACTAGGAGTGGGATTGCAGAATTTCAGCGCACATGCTTATGGACCTTTTTGAGCCAGGACCTGCCCCCACTGGTAAAACCCCCAGTTTCCCAGTGAAAAACACTTTTGATAAGGGCCACATAATTGTCAATAGGGTTGAATTGGACTATAAGCAATAAAAATTAACATCAAATTATCCTGATCGGTAACGGCCAAATAAAATATCTCACTAGGGTTTGATACAGTATGTGAACCTTACACCTGAATAAGCACTTTACAAACTTTTAAGTGTCTGTACATTGCAAACAAATGACAAGAAAAAAGTACCTCTATCCTGCAGCGCACCTCTATTCTGTTCATTTACTTCATGTGCATGAGTTAACACTGGCCATATTTGCACAAAGCCTCATCAGCTCAGATATTGGTCACACTCGGTATATTTTAAAACACCTTGAAACACTCTTTTGGGATAATTGCTTTAATAGTATGGTGTAATGGTGGAGGCTGGCTGGATGGCAGACTTGTGCTGCTTAAGTGCCACAGTTGTGCTCCGCAATGTGGGAGCCATTTAAGCGTGTTTACCCCTGCCAGCCGCCGAGCCTCCCACAGGGGAACTTTTCTGGGTCATAATCCTGAGTTGGAGTGCAGATATCACAAACCTACGGCAGACCAGGGGGAGGGGGGAGGAAGCAGAGACCAGGGGGGAGGGCGAGGAGGTTAGTTGTCCGTACAGGTTAATGTTGCACAGAGGGACATGGCTTCAGGTTCCAACTAATCGCGGTGGGCACATCTAGGCTACTGTGTTGACAATGTGTAAAAGCAGTGGAGCAGAATTTTAATGGGAGATTTTGTGATATGGTTTTTTTTTCCATGCTGTCCGATTTTGAGGCAATATATTATGTACACATGAGTCAATAGCTTAGAAAAGTTAAGTTTAATTCATTTACAACCTTTATCCACTCATTTGGTGGGAACAGGGTCTTTCTGAATGGAGTTTGCATGTTCTCCCCGTGTCTACGTAGGTTTCCTTTGTGTGCTCCGGTTTCCCCTACCTCTAAAAACATGCACAATAGGTAAAATCCTCCAGCTCTGGTCCTGACCAAGCTGAGCACCAACCTCTATGGATTCCTGGGCGCTGTACTGTACTACGCCGACCACTGCTCCTGACAGAAGCCTTAGTTGCATCAGGATGGGTCAAATGCAGAGGACAAATTTGACCCATTCTGATGTTTATTAATCCCTACAGGGATTAATAAACAATTAATTTTTATTATTTTTTTAAGATGCAATTTTTTGACATTCAAAACACATACTGTACTGCTGGCACTGATATAGATGTAAAATCCTTATAGTGATATATACACAAAGACCAAAATTGTTAAGTAGGACTTTGTCCAGTGTGAGATCAATAAAGTCTATCTTATCTTATCTTTTCCATAATTCCTCTATGGTAATCAACAAGTGGAAGACTCCAAAAATATACAATCATAATTCAACATTTGGCTCACTTGAGTTGTCTTTTTGCCAGTGTACCATTTTTGTTACCACAGCCCAGACTGGAAACACGCCAACACCATAAATAATGGTTTGGGTTTATATATGTTGCTGGACAAGCATAACAAGCTCCTCACAGCTCTTTAGTCATTGTACTTTCCCCCAGCAAATGTAAAAGAAGTTAGAACTGACTGGAGATACCTTTTCTCCACTGGCACTCATTCATTGCAAGGATACACACATGTCTTAATTGGCGATCTTATAAAAGCAGCCAATTGAGAAAAATGTGAGGATACCAGGGAATGCTTCGAATAAATGTAAATGAACAAGATCGACCATAACGATGTCACTAACAGCAGATTTAGATAGAGGGAAGAATCAACACCCGCAGTGGCAGACGGACATAAGAGCCACATTTGGTATTTTGTCCCACATTTCCCATCTGGGCAGCTCCAGACGTGTGTCAGTGACAGGAGGCAGCTGATGCTCTTTCGACCACTGACCATCTGAGCGCACCACACAGTAATCAGTGTAATCTGAATCAAAGCATTAGGCAGGTCTAATACAATTATTATATAGCAGCACGGTTCTGTCAGGATCACCGTGATGGACAAGAAGGCCTATGTTTACACTTGTAGCGCTGATACTCCTGATGGGTCTCCTGATGGGTCTCCTGATGGGTCTCCTGTGGTACGTACAGCCAGTGCCACACCCACACATGATGCTCCTGTGATACTGGTTGTGCAAAGGATAAGTAAGTAAGTAAGTAATCTTTATTTATATACCGTCTTTTCACTGCACATCGGAGTCTCAAAGCGGTTTACAATTGTTATTTTTTTGGGAGTGGGGGTGCCAGAACGGGAGGCACATGCCAGACCTATTGTACATATTTTTAGTGGTAGGGGAAACCGGAGCACCCGGAGGAAACCTACGCAGACACGGGGAGAACATGCAAACTCCACTCAGAAAGGCCCTGGTCCAACCGGTATTTGAACCCAGGACCTTCTTGCTTAGAGGCGAGAGTGCTATCCACTCAGCCACCGTGCCGCCCTAGGATAAATTGTTATTGAGGACATTAATCTTTATGGACATTGGTCATCCGTCCCTTATGGACTAATGGCTCTTTGTGTTTTTTATCATTGGATTCCCTGGGTTTGATTCTCTGATCTGTGTTGGTGAATCAACGGCTTTGATTTTTAAAGTCCTCCAAAATGTATACTGGTGTCATTTTGGGCTATACCAAAATAAATGTATTTGAACTGACATCATAATTGGGAGTATGCACAAATCATGAATATTTAGAATACTTATGCATTCAAGTCACCCTCTCTGCCCGTTTTTCTTCTGATGTTCACATATTTTTTATCGTCATGATTTGTGATGTTTTGGCAGTGAATGTGCCACATTTTAAAAGAAATCTTTGCTGGACTCAGGTCCATGATCATTTCCTACATGTACGTCTGGGTCTGATCCTAGTGGCTGCAGTTTCCTCGGTGGAATCCACTCCGACCAATCAGTGAGCGGGGGAGGCGGGTGCTGTAGGGAGGTGTCGGCAACGTCAAGAGTTTGCGCAGAAATTTGCTGGTTGTAGTTCAGCAGTGGCGAAGAATGCAATTGTAAAGTAATATGCTCTAGACTAACTAAATTCCTCACTCGAATGAGTACAATGGAATAATAAGACCAGGCTACTGCTGTAGTGGTTATGACGTTGACTAACCATACAGAGGCAAGGAAAATTTTGTTATTTTCATGAACTAAAAAGTCCATGTTTGTCAAAGATTACAACTATAGCAAACCAAACCATAGTGTTTTGGCTCCAGTCTCTTTGTACGTCCCATAAGTTGTAATGGGGATGAAAGTTTCTCTTAGTACAACCGACACAATCACAGGAACAGAAACTAGTGACCTTGTGAAGGAGGAGAACGATGGCTCCCCTCCAAACTAAACCAAAGAGAGTGAGGAAGTTGAACTCTCGATGCTCCTGAACAAACATGCGGCCGCCTGCCAAAGCTGCCGACGTAGCACATATCTGTATACAACATAAATAAATGATTACAGCATGTGTCTTTGAACATGCGAGTGCTTCCCATCGCATGTTCAAAGATGCTGTAATCATTTATTGTGTATTTACAACCGGTATAAATATAAACCAGCACAGATTAACATGCATACATTCTCTTTCATAAACCCACCGTAGGAAAAGCTCCCTGTCAGCACTTGTCAACGAGAGAAAGGTTGTAATGTAATATTTTCATTTTCTAACTCTTGCGCATTTTCAAATTCCAATTTACAGGAATCACCAAGATAAGAAAATGGTTCTTGTCCTGGCAACCGGTCAGCAAGAATTCACAGCTTGGCAATCAGGTTTTTTTTGTAACATTCAATGAAAGAAATATAGCAGTTGATTCCATTTAAATCTGTACTAGTGTGCTTTTTAGTATGGTCAAATCTGTTATCATTAGAGCAAAGTATCGTCAGCTATGGTCAGCCACACCTGCCCTGAGGCAAACAGGCACAAGGACGAACACTTACATAATATACCGTTTAAATGCATGTTTTGGCCCAGTTTATTACATGGTTGCTGTAACATTCCTAGCATCACATCATTAATCACAACCAAAATGTTAATGCTGCAAAAAGTTGTATGCAAAAGAAAATGTTAAACTATTTCAAGTCTCACCATAAGCCTTTTAAAGAAACAGTTTTTAAAAGGTCTGTACCTAATATGCACTGAGATTGGTTCTTACGTTCCATACAATTATAATCCAACTTTAGATGCACATGCAGCTTTTTAGCGTCTATTCCTGATGCAAACATCTGCTGGAGTTAAGTTTTCTTTTAGATATGGGTGGAGTTAAAACCAGTAAAAAAAACAAAACCTGGCAACCCCATTG